CATTTCGGTGCCTTGATTGGTGACATCCCAGGCGGGCTAATGGCTTTGAAAGAGAATGGCGTAAACTGGGACGAAGCCATCTCATTCGTCAAGACTCACACAAACCTGGAGCTGTGGATAAAAGGACGTAAGTCAGTCTCCAGTCACAATTGCTGGGAGACTAACCATCATTCCAGTCTACACTGCCGAAGATGTCGTCACTGCCATCCAGTACGGGTTGGATGGCGTCGTCATCTCCAACCACGGTGGACGACAACTGGACAGTGTCCCAGCGACGTTGGATGCTCTCCGAGAATGTGCTCCCGTAGCAAAAGGGAAGATCAAGATTGGCATTGACGGAGGAATTCGGAGGGGAACAGACATTTTTAAGGCTTTGGCTTTGGGCGCTGACTTCTGCTTTGCCGGGAGGATCCCAATCTGGGGCTTGGCTGTGAGTTGCCCAATGACAGGCTTGTATGCAATCTCTAGAGAGCTGACACGTTCCTACAGTACAACGGCCATAAAGGAGTAGTGTTGGCCATCCAGCTTCTCTATGACGAGTTCAAACTCACTATGGGTCTAGCTGGGTAAGTCCCTGCCTTCAGAATCGATGCCCTTGAAGGCGCGGCTGAGTAACTGTTACGTTCTCGCACAGGTGCAAGACTATTTCTGAGATTAATCGCGGACATCTCTCGGTCTTAGAAAGCAACGGAGTTCTGTCAAAGTTGTAATGCTTTACGAAAGCTAGAGCCTACAATGACGAACCACACTATTAAGAATGAAGAGGACGAATATACCAACAACAACAACAACAACAACAACAACAACAACAACAACAACAACAACAATAGTGTGCTTACCTCTGTCCACATATAGATAAGTCTTATCAGTGACATCGGAGATCAGCGTTGATGGGTCTAGGCAGGAGGGACATAGTGCTATCGTCGCCCACGTATGTAGAGAACTCGGACAGCTATATACAGGATATCACTGCAAAGACACTAGATGCGTAGAGATGCAAGAGTCGATAAAGTCTCACGCGAGGATCTGTGTCCGCCTGATACATCATTCACGCCAGTTTGTTTCCCTATGGTTATTGGCTTAGTGATCACCCTCTTCTGGGGAATGTGATGGCCGAGGCCGCAACTGGGTGGTCCATTTTCATTCCCAAGATGGAACGTCAATGATCGAGCCGTTCCGGCACCCAAACCGTACTGCCACGTGCGAGACGAGCTTCATTTCTCGCAAACTTGGGTATGTGTCCCCCAGTTCGACCATGCGCCCGGATACGTTGGCAGCTCTCTCACCGCCCTCCCAATAGCCTCTGCATCGGAATGGCCATTTCTTGCTACTCTTGCCGCCAGAGACGGCGTAGAGGGGCCTCGAAAGTCAACCAGCACATCTTGCACTTTCATGTACAAAACCCATGATGCCAATGCAAGGAAATCAGCATTTTGCAGACATGGAGTCGAGATCTGGCCAGATTTCGCTGTCCCGGAATGACGGGTCGACAACCAGAGCTTCGACGTCTCGGTCGAGGCGGACGTCGCCATGGACTTGGGCCTCGATGAAGTGGTCAAGGTTATGACGCTGAGTACAACTGAAGATATTCATGCGCAGCTGACCAAGATCTAGGATGCGTGACAGCAATTGTGGGGGCCGGATGCTGTTCACTCCAAACGCAAAGTCCCGCGTGAGGCATTCCTCGAACAGTGCTGACAGGACAGCGTCAAACTCACCATACAATAAGCCCAATTGGTTTTCGGGTTAAATGGTCTCCCAAAACTGACACTCCCATCACCTGTGACACTCGTTAAATGCCTTCAGAGGGATAGGGAACCCTAACCCGTTACAAATCTTTGCGTGCCCGCAAGTGTGCGCTTCTGAGGGATGTCGAATCACAAAGGGGAAGAATTCGTGAACGCAGACGGCGGACAACATTCAAAGTCTAGAAAGCCAAGGCAATAGCCCATTCTTATCTGTGTGTTTCTCTGTGACCTTACTCTCTTCGGTCCTGTTGTAAACAGTGTGAGAGTGGATCTATCTGCTTGATTGTGTTGTTCGCTCTGCTGGCTATTCAGAGAGACTCTGCCTATCAATATACTATTTGCACTGTGGCAACAAGCGGTCCGCTGAAAGGATCTGGACCTGGCCAGATCTGTCCAGACCTCGTTATCGACCAACGGTGGCACCGAGGTTGATATAGAGAGGCCTCGGTTGAAGCATTGGTGGATTGGTTGGTTTGCCACAGTGGCGTTCTGCTGTCAACAGGTCCTCTCTGTGGATGTTTCTCGGCAACATGACTGATATGAATGGTGTAATCCTCAAGCAGAATGCCTGATCGCTCTCATGTACTGAAAGCTTGTGGAGTTTACAGGATCGGGCAAGGCAGTGTAATATCTAGTCGCATTATCGTGAGGATAAGGCCGTAGCTGAGATGATTACTATGTTCCCGACTAGGACGAGTTCTTGCTCAAATCGATTTCGTCAGCACCAACCACAGGGAGTTGCAAAAGGGAGTGGCCAATCGTGATGGCCACTGGCGTGTGATGTTCGTCCTCGCTGGCCATGTGTCTGCCCTTCAAGCTCTTCGAATGGTCAATTCATATCACCTGACTTTCTTTTCCATCGCTCTCACTTTACCCCAACCCTGGCAAAATTTGAATACCAATCTGAAAAGAAAGGTACTTTGGAGCACGGTGTGCGGTGGAAACAGGTCATCCATTTCTAACTCTGTTCCTCCATATTCTGTCTCGCGTTGAACTCGTGGGAGGTGACAGCGTTCGAGGTCCCAAGAGATCAATGCCAGATTTGTTCAAAGATGCTGACGATGGATCAGACCAGTACCTTTCATCCAATAAGACCGAATTTTTTTTGCGCAAATGCATTGGAATTACTCCTCTATAGGATAGATATACAACGTTCCACTCGATGATGATGGGTCTTGGACTCTACCGTATGCTCGTTGCAGTAAAAAAGGTGGAGACACATGACCACACTGGTAGTCGCGCAGACTGCCTTAGGATAGATCGTAATTAAGAGATTTTAAATCAGAGCCCGGAGAGACAGGAAAGAAACACTAAAGGGAATGTAAAGGCCCACTCGTAGAAAGCCCGCGCAAGGAATGGATGATTCTCGACCAACATTTTGTGGGCAAAGCAGATGGTCAGACCCTGCTGAGAAAATGGAACGAATTGGGGCCAGGATGGATCGATTGCTACGGGCATTTGGAAGTAGGAAGGCAGTTCTTCAGAGGAAAGATGGAACAATTGTCGTTAAAACCGAGAACCTCTTCGTATTTGGTAGAACGTCGAATGGCATCATGTTCTTTTGGTAAGAGTGGTGTATTTTCACACGCAACGTACTGCTAGGTCCAGAAATTGGGGTAACTGGGGATCGCCTGTGAAATCAACGATGCTGTGCAGTGATATAGATTGACGCAATATCAACCCCTCGATAATGTAGAAAACCAGTCTTAGATGCAAATATGTGCCCACAACCAGGGGCGTATATCTGGTGCTAGGGTAGCCGTGTCTTCCAATTCCTCAAGTCCTCCCTCAGTCGAGGCATTGACAGAGGTCTCTGAGTTTTGTGACATAGGCTCTAGGAAAGGCAATCCAAGGGGCTCGGCGATCCTGAGGTCTGTGTAGGTGAACGTGAAGTAATCCCACAATGTGAGCAGACATGACCAAAGTGTCGATGGTCTGGATGGATTTTATGTCGTGATTTGCTGTAAACTGGCCAACATTCAGAAATACCATAGATGCTTTGTACCACATGACTTGCAACTTGGCAGCTTCTGCCTTTTCAATTGCCCATGAGTTAAAGTCTGACTTGTTCACACCGACAATGTTTCCAGCTAGGATTGCGAAGAGGAGAGCAACCAAAAGGGGATCTACATCGCGAAGGTGAATGATCTCATTCTCGGGGTCAACGGCCCTTTGCAGCTCACGCCGAAACTGCCAGGCATAATAACACTCAAGGTACCAGAGCAGACTTGCTTCGTGATGGTCCACCAGTAGCCAGATTCGATTCGTATCGGGGAGCTGAGGCTGCCATAGAGCGATATGCGAGGTTTGTGATCGGGAAACTCTGAGCGCCAACTCGATGCTGACACCTTGTTCAGGGAAGGTGGAGTTGTTTCAGAGCGATCGAGGGGATTGCTGTTGCACAGCGATCGACATGAGGTGTCTCGCGGGTGCCGTGTGAATCCATGACACGAGTCAGTGGGCCTGTAATGCTGCGGGACACCTCTTCACAAACATCGACCGCATGGTGTTGCGAAGTCGCATCTTGCCGACGGCGTGAACTTTCAATGCATACTTTTCATCGTCGTAACATTGCTCAGCAGTTTTAGATTAACCCAGTATCAAGTTCAGATGCAAGATCGGCGGAACGATAGGTAGAATAAAAGTTCCAAGACCAGGAAGCTTTGTGTCGAGAAAAAGATTCGGGAATGGTCAGAAATGCATCGACTTATAGATTCTAGAGTCATTATCTACTCGGGATGGAGTTCAAAGGTGGGCGAATTGCTGACCAAAGAGTCACGCCAGAGATTATTATTCGACTGGGCGAATGCATCTCTTTGTCATGACTGCTATTGAGGCAGCGAGATTGTTGACTCCCCTCTAACATCGCCTTTTTCTTCGAAAGGAAATGATGGCTGGGATAGGTCCAACATTCATCCCACGAAACGTCAACCAGTTACAAGGATTCAGCTCATTAAGGTCTCAAATATATCGTATTCTAGGGTAATTCGTGTTCTGAAATTGCCTCGACCCGGTTGCGAGACAGAAGTTTCGCGAGAACAGCCTCGATCCGAACTCGTCCGACTTCGCTGGATCTGCGAGGCTGCTGAAGCCGGGAGTATCAATGTTTCTTTCGGCTACTCCGAGATCGACCAGAGCAGCTATTACATGGCACAAGTCCTTGTATATTCGGATGGGGACATTATCAACCACCGACGAAAGATTAAACCGACAGATGTAGAGAAACTGTAATTCGGGGATGGCGCGGGTGACATGATCACTCCGGTAAACAGCTATAAGCCGAGTGGACCACCTCCTCTATTGGGAGAACTTGAACCTTCTCATGAACTCATATACGGCGTCTCTGATGAACGGATCTCCGTGGCAGCATGGCCCATCCTGCCTCATTCCTCTTATGATATCCCTACCCTTACTGTTTACCTGGAGATGCAAACGTTGACGTACGTTACCTTCCGAAATGAGGTTTGATATAGTCTTTGAGACGATGGACCCTTGACCAAAAACAAAACATGTTGTCACCAGCTGTTACGCCATCACCACTTGCATCTTCGTTGTTGCTCCGTTCCAAGTCGCGCCCACTGAAGGTGTGAAGAGAACTACTACCCCAGGAACGCGACCAGTGGACTATCACATCCACAATGGCCATACCCACCTTATCGCTCTGGACGGCAGCAAGATCTACGAACATTTGAACAAAGAGAGTGAGGACCAGGCGTCCATCCCCCAAGTAGGTGAAATAGCCCATTACGTAGTCAGCCGTTGTAAAACTACGAAGAGAGTTTCTGACGATGAGGTTGTACAACATGATTTGAACGATATCCATCTATCCAAGGCCTTGTGCATTTTCGTAAGTTTCTCCTTTCCTCAACGATACTCACTTTGTCTCGCCTGTCTCGGACTTCCGGGGCCATCTGATTCTCAACCATCAGTGAGGTTCCTGCGTGCGACTAGAAGTGATCGGCTCCCTGGTGGAAGGGGACAGGGAGGACTTGATCGCTGACGTCAACCTAAACGCCACGTATATGGTAACAAGGACAATGGAATGGCTGAATTTATCCCCTTCTCTGCATGAACTTCTGAAGGGAAAGAACTGAAGTGGACCCTCGAGTTGACTACCGGAACTGCTAAAGATCTTAAGGATCATCCAATGGCTACTTATCAACCCCTAGTCATAGTGCAAAACCCGATGGGACTTTTCTCATCAATGTCCGCCAGGAATTTCTTGCTTTGGCCTCCACTAAATATTGAGGAAGCTGCCCAAAGAGGCACGAAGTATCTTTGTCAGGGTGTTAGCCGTGTTACTCTCGGAGTATACGAGACGGGCTGTTCACAAGGAGAGTCAATATTCGTGTCATTCACACGTAAACAGAAACCAAAAACGGATGGTTGGGACTGGCGCCTCCTTTTTAGAATGATGCGGGGAAGGCGACTAGTAGCCCCAGATCAGATCCCAGACTGCTCCACAAAGGGCAATTCATAGCGAATAGGTCACACTATTTCGAAGCCTTCACGCAGTCCTTGAGTCATTCACATATCGGGGATCAAGAAGTTGTCATCGAGAAACTGCCCTCAGCGCATCAGACCACTTGCCTTCCGGATAACCGGGCATTTTGACGCCCATTACCATTCTGAATGTTAGCGAGTTGTCCAAGCTCGCTGACCTTTGCCCCGATTGCTGCTTCGTGTAAAAACATCAGGTGAACTGATATCTACTTACTAATACCCTACGATCATGAAATCGCACTTTTTTCACCCTTTTCCTTCCTTACTTTTGGTGTAACTGTGCGCAACTACTCTTAAGGGGTCCCAGCACGAACGAATTAAGATGATTGATCCAACATTTTACCGGCACGCCGCCGAAGCTGTTGCAGCTCCTCCAGAAGAGCTTGCATTCGTTGTTGCTTATGATCCTGAATTCAAGAAAAATGATGCCGTCTTTGTGGTCGACCTCAATCCCAAGTCAACTACCTACGGACGGGTCGTTGGTAAAGTCGAGGTTCCCGCGGGGCAGGAATTGCATCACTTTGGATGGAATGCTTGCTCGAGTGCTTTCAAGCATGAAGGCCACAATATGGAGAATCTGGAACGTCGGTACCTCATTGTGCCCGGCCTAAGATCGTCAAACATCTTCATTATCGACACGAAGCCAGACCCCCGTAAGCCGAGGATTGTCAAGGTTATTCCGGCGAAAGAGCTTTCGGACAAGGCAGGCTACTCGCGTCCGCATACGATCCACTGTGGACCGAACGGTATATTTATGACATGTCTGGGTGGGCCGGATGGTAATGCTGATGGCCAGACTGGTATTGCCCTGCTCAACCACGACACCTTCGAGGTGATAGGAAAGTGGGAAACCAATCATGGGCCCCAGCGCCAGAGCTATGATGCCTGGTGGCACATGAATAAGAACACTCTAATCTCGAGCGAGTGGGCTCCCCCTTCGCTGATCGAGAAGGGGTTGAATGTCGCGGCGCTTATGAAAAACATGTATGGGAAACAGGTGCACTTCTGGGACCTTGCCCGAGGGAAACACATCCAGGCGATCGATGTGGATGAAGGCGATCAAATGGTCCTGGAAGTGCGCCCGACGCACGATCCCGAGGCTACATGGGGCTTCTTCGGGGTGACTCTCTCAACAAAGGACCTTTCGGGTTCGATTTATTACTGGTGTGAAGGCGATAACGGTAAATGGAAGGCCGAGAAAGTCATTAAGATCCCCGCGGAGCCCCTTGGTGACCCAAACAAGCTCCCGCCAATCATCAGACCCTTTGGTGCGATTCCTCCCCTTGTGACTGACATCGATCTTTCCGTCGACGATAGGTTTCTCTACGTCTCATGCTGGGGCACCGGTGAGCTGAAGCAATATGACGTTCGTGACCCAGCCCATCCAGTCCAAACAGGCTCTATAAGGCTAGGGGGCATTGGCAACCACACACCCCACCCCGCAGAGCCGGACAAGCCTATCGCCGGAGCTGTGCAGATGGTAGAGGTCAGCCGAGACGGACGTCGTGCCTATTTTACTGGTTCGCTTTATTCGACCTGGGATGACCAGTTCTACCCCGAGGGCATGGGATCTTGGATGGTCAAGGTCAATATAAACCCTGAGGGCGGTATGGAAATAGATCGAGACTTCTTCCCACGTGGAGATGAATTCGATGGTCTACGAGTTCATCAAATCAGGCTCCAGGGCGGGGATGCTTCTACGGATTCATATTGCTGGTCTTCCCCTCCTGTTCAGGCAAAAATCTAAGGAGGGGGTGAACATATCCTCAAATGGGGCGAGTTCCTCCAAACGAGTGGAGCTGAGATTAAAGTCGCAGGGGCGTGTTCAACCACCCTTCTGCCGGGTCAAGTATGCAGCATATCTGATATCTTTTGCTGTACGCATCACTATATGCACATACTTTATGACACTTTAGTTGACTCAGCGATGTCTCTTCACAGGCGCTGCCTCGGCGCTTGACCATCAGACCATGTGGAGAAAAAATGTGAAACAATTCCAATATGCTACAAAATAGAGTATACTGACTAGTTTATAACAGGAGACAGTGAGCGAGTACTGTGATGGTCCCCGAATGCCCCGTCGGGGTTTACGCAAGCGATAACCTAGCCTCTTGGTTAGCTTTCGGTTAAAGAGGTAAGGGGTAGCAAGCCTAAGAATAGTGTAGCTCATACAATTGAGATCTCTCGGGCTTTACAGTCTAATGCGGAAACTAATACAAGTAGTGGTCCAGTACTGGGCATATCGGCGAATTAAAGAAAATCCCGGGAACTTCGGGGAAGTTTATAGAGGTATGTTAAGCCCAACGTTGTTAGGCCGTCCCACCTGCCCCGGAATTGTGGGGTAATTTGTAACCGACACCCCATTACTCCTTCCTGCCAATTCGCCGTGATAGACACCCCGCCTCGCGGCTTTCTATTTTCTTCCGTCGCCGAGGCTCTTTACGTATTCCGAATTCTGGTCGTCCATAATATGTTTGCCATGTCTTCGCCCAGTGCTTCACAAGTTGAGGTTCTCTCGCCCAGTCCCAATGCAGACAAAACTCTCCAGAAGGACCAGATGCCCACTTTCCCTCATCGTTTCCGACGGAATTGCAGCGCGTAAGAAAAACCAGAGCCTACGAGGAGACAAAGAGCGAGCAATTGACGGTGCTGGTGGCAAAGACTGGTTTAGTAGATGCTATTTCCTACGCAGGAAAACTCGGAGCATCCGCCTTTCTTGTCTTTAATGGATTGGAAACATTGGCCAGGGCCAAAATGAATGGATATGGAATTCTAGAACCTGGGGACATGTTGGTGCTACAAAGAGTCGACATTGAAGACAACGTGCGGCCGAAAAGCCGGGTCAGTGAACTCCTTACTCAGTCCCTACTGCACCGTGGAAACCATGGATGAGCTCATATAGTTCGGGGGCCTCAGGGTATCATTTGAATGCGTAAGTTTTCTTATCGTTTTGTGAAGGTCGGTCAGGCAGATATAACATCGTCGTTGAAGTCTCCTCTGAGCAGGACCATTTCCTTCAATTTGCGTAGCACGTAGATCGGATTATTGGATGATCTACGCATGAGAGCCTCGCACGCTTCCAATCGGTGAATTTTCCAGACTCGAGCCCGGGCCGAGGCACAGTTGTGCTAGACCAGTTGTGTGATGCGTATCCCATATTCCCTCTTAAGGCAGGTGTCCTAAATAGGTATGCTGGAACGAGAACTCGCCGACTGCGTCCTCCTTGTGTCCACAATGTTATGTCGCAGTGAATATGTTCCTTGCTCTTACTTATTATAGTACATATCTCTAACTCGTCTGTGGAAAGCAAGCCTCCATAGCGGCTGTTGTCGTTGGCACACTAATGGCAAGCTCCCTGGTCTACGACAACTACAAAAGGTACAAGGGTGACACCAGAGACTTTTCTTATTGGATTGTAGTCACCGCCATTCAACGGGGTTTTCAACATGCGTCTAAGTCTGATCTCGAGGGTCCAGTCAGGGAAGCCCGATTCGACATATACAAAAGGAAAGGGACAATAGAAAATCTTGAAGAACCCAAAGTATTCAAAGATAGCAATAAGTACGATATTCTATTTCGAGGACCCTGGGGTCAAGGAGAGTAGAACGGCCCGAGCGTCGACTGATATCTGTCCCTATCCAAGTGGAGCCCATCCGCCCTCAAGAATGTCCCGACTAGACTGAGGAGCGAAATAGCGAGGAGACCACTCCTCCGCATTCGTGTGCCCTCCTGTTACAACCTCCTGTCGCAGGAACGTTGCAGGACGATTTTAGGGACTGCCTATTGTGGGACACATCGAGTGTCAGGGTTGCAACATAATCACCGTGATTGCCGTTGCCAGTTTGATAGCCGGCGCCATTAACTCTATTTACATCACCACCACCGTTGATCTGGAAGAGGATGACGTTGCCATGAAATGTTCAAGAATGGCCTTCTAGACACACGCCAACGCCTATATGAATAGGCAGGGTCTCGTTGAAGAGACGTATAGACAGAGACTGGTCCCAAGATAGATCAATGCTATCCGTTTACGTAACCGACATGACAATTCTCAATCTCACAACAACAAAGTCAGCATTGATTCCGTGAAAGCAGAAGAGAAATTGTGACGAAAGCACCTTGAAGTGTCGATGTGAGAGCCTCGTGAAAAAAGTTGAGCAGGTTCTAGAGTGCAATATAATTGTCCTCCCTAAATGTCATCTGAACACAGGGGGCTGAAGCAATCCCATTCTAGTGAACTCTTTTAGTGAGCGGTTCTCGCAGATGATAGGCAGGGCCCCAGATCCATACTTTTCCAGGATTCCTGGTCGGGATATATATCAACATTCTGTACAAAGCCGTTGACGATCCCGACGCCCCCTTCTCCGGTTAGATTAACTTGAAATCGAGGTCTCCCTGGGCGTAAACAGATCTAGGATCGGTACAGGTCCGCCTTATAGTGTTAATCGATCGCTCCTAGAGGTATAGCACGATAGAAGATTTTAATTCCGGCGATTAGCGTGTGGATGTTTCTTCTAAATTCCAACCTATATACAGCAGGATAAGTTGCAAAAGCAGAAATCATATTATTAATCAACAAACCATCTAATATCGCGTGTTCTCAAGGAGGCCTCGAGCGACCAGACGCGTGTTGACGTGGCGGTCGGGATGGAAGTACAGCGCCACTCGGGCGTGTGGTCTGATCACGCTGCGGACAAAGCCGAGAGACGACTCGGGTATGTTTGACATGTAGAAGATATCTGAAAGAACGTCGATGGCAGCCGGCCGAAGAGAAACTGCCTATGCTTTCAGGTGGGCAATTGCCCGTTCTTGACTGGAATGTAGACGTATCCGGCAATTCTATGAGAACGACGCAGTCTCTGTAGCAAAGTGTCGGTGTCAGCATATTCTCTGGTAGAGAGGAAGTGAAGCTGAGATCAAATCTTCACCCTCGAGTCTGCGTGTTGGAGAGCCCATGACTCATTGCGAATGAGAGGGTGATCATAGTTGCTGGAATCTGATCTCTTGAGGTTCTACACACTCCTTTTTGCGTTCTCTCATTATTGAAAAGAAACGGCTTGTATTTCCTGTGAAGGGAGGAACAAAAAACATGTTCAAACTCAACCAGAAGGCTCCTAAGCAGTATGATTTACTCTTTGCGGTCGAGAGTGTGGGCTGAAAAAGTCGAGGCCTCGATCTGAGAGGGTACCGATTCCATGGTTCTTCCCAGTTTCTCAATCCCATTACCCGCGTGAGAGTTCATTGACCTAGTTAGTACCTGACGTGTCTGTGAGAGGAGATGAGTTGCCGTCGTGGTGGAGTAGGGTTATATCTGAGGCAAACACAGCAAACAGAGCAAACCCACAAAACGTACTCTGTATCTCGTACTAACTTCCACCACCCGGGATTTATATTTTTCCGGAGTGCCTAGCTGGCAAGAGCTCACTTTCCAATCTTGACGTCTCTTTTGTATGTTGATCACCATTCTGTATAGAAGCATACCAGCATTGAGCGATGCTCCTGTGCTAATAATTTGACAGTTCCATTGTGGGACATCTCTCTCCCTCTCACATCGTCTTGTTCTACCATGGCCGAGCGGACGCTGCCTGTAACTCACGGGATCTCGATCGTGACCAATGCACATACCTTGAGCACCAACCCGTATCCTGTAGCGTTCAGAAGGGCTGAAGAACTCTCACAGATCAGGATATGCAAGGAATTGCACCGTAATACTACCATTGAGGGCCTGCCCCCTGGACTGGACGTAAGCCATGGGGACTTCCTCGGTGGTGGCACGCAAATATTGCACGATGGTCGAGTTGCTGATTACTCCTTCCTAATCCCGTAGGAGCAACCCCGGGCCTCGCAATCGACATGCAACTTCCACAGCCTCGTCACTTCCAGAGAAGTCTCCGGAATGTGCGCGCAAGAGATCATGTCTTTCCTTTCTCTCCGTTCTCTCCTCTCATCTCTTCATCTCTGCTTCGAGTTGGACTTCCAGGTCATTGATAGGCAACGCTTGAATTGGTTGGTACTTTGGTTGCCTTTGCTCAGAATCATTCAACGAGGATCCGCGTCTCCATTTGGGGCTTTTAGAACTCCTTGGTTGATCTGGTCGACGAAACCCTATTGGTCCTGGGATACTGTTGTCACAATCCATTTCCTAGGTCCGGTCATGTTGAATTCTCTCTTCTACTTGGCTTGAGAGCCAGTCTTCTCCAGTTCGCCTGTGTTTGTGTTGCCGGTGAAATACTGTGCACAATGTCTTGGAAGTTAGCCGAGCTGAGATGGCGTCAAGATGTTGGCCTCAATGAGAGCTGCTGGGAGCGAAATGCCAAATCAGGACAAGACGACCACTTCGAAGACACAAAGGGTAAAGGAATCGACCAGTCAAAGCATGGTCGTTCTTATACCGGACCGTGGTGCCATCTCGTGTTGGGGAAAAGTCTGGCGGAGGACTCCATCAACAACAGAATTCGGCCGGACCCGGTTCCACCCATATTGGCTACCGGTCTCTCAGACTCTTCAACAACTCCTCTTCTTCAAAACACCCGGGACACAGCAGATGTCTTAACAGGACATAATCACCCTCTCTTCACCATTAAGAGAGACGCCACACGGTCGGATCTGACGCTCAATCATCTTCAGAGTCCGTGTCAACCCACCTCATTTCAACGCAGCACCATCTTTTGCCCGCAGCTTTACCTGGCCGAAGAGGCTCGCTTGCCACTAGATGGTGCGTTGTTCTTCTGACTTACTGACAAAGACGTCACTGACGATCTGAAGGTAATCAGTTGTCGCCAAAGGATTCAACAACGCCTTCAGGGCCCGGCGACAACGACAGACGCGATCAGATTAGAAAACGCGTGACAGGTCTGTTACGGTCATTGCCAATTGTGAATACCCTTCTCTTTTTGTCTTTCCAAGAACAAGTACTGACATTATCTAACAGAATATCAACGCGGACCTTGATTCTTCTTATCGCGTTGACTTCGAGCATGCTCGTGCCCCAAGTTTCGGACTCCAGTTCTCTGAGCCAGAGCAAATAGTCGACGATAGGCTTGAAGAACAGGTCTTGGATTCTGGACATTGCAGTGTCTGGAGGCGGAGTCAGTCCCTTTCACTGAGTCTTCGACGCGCCTCGCTAGAATCAACGCATCATTCAGATTCAGCTCTCCTGCAAAACATCAGCATGGATATCCCAACAAGTCATTCAAGCCCCGAGCCACGCACAACGCGTCCACTATATCCCGATTTGCCTTCTGCATATGCTCAGATCCAGGGCCGCAGAGCTGCAAGTCTCCAGCCACTCTCGTCAAACAGAAGTGTAACCCGGTTCCCTCTCAGTCCATCAAGCTCGTCTTCCGAAGAAGGTGGTTATCAGGACTTACCCCTTGATAGCGACAACATACCACTGAAGAACCTACCGTGCCGAAAAGTCCACTCAGCTCACGGCATTCTCCATGAGGCTGATCATCATCAAGAGTCCAGCGCAATGTTAGAGACATCCGAGGAAATATGCGATTCCAATTTGGATTGGAAAAGAGCCTCAACCACTTTGGATGACATCGTCTCGCAATACGCAGATGCCAGCGCAGCAGGCTCTTCCACGCACAATGATAGGACTGACCATGAAAAACATATCAACCCAGAGCAACTAGATCCTGTGACCGAAGGCAAATTGGCGGGCGATGCTGCTTGCTTTGGAGCACCAAAGACACGATTGAGGCATGTCGACTCGGCGCATCAAATCCATGAATTTTACCAGCAGCGTGCAAAGGACCGAATCACTCGAAATCCTGAGAGCTTTGGTGCAACAGAAGAAGATGACGAGTGGGTTAGGATGCCAGAAAGCAGTCGTAGTGGTTTCTTGACACCATCAAAGCTGCGCTTTCGCCTGGCAAAGAGAGAGACTGGCGACACTTCTGGTTCCACTCTGACCGGCAGAAGAAGTCCTGCGTCACCCTGGGATCCGCTATCGAACGCAACACAATCCAAGGTGCGCACTCATCTTCAGCATAAAGGTCCTTTCAGCCTGGATCAACGTCCACTTTCTCCTGACCAGAAACCAAGGACAGATAGATCCTCAGGCAACAGACAATGCTTTCGCAGAAGATTAAGGCCTCTGACAACGAGTGGGCACATTGCAAACACTGATGAGCAAGACTGTCGTCTGGATTCTGCCGGCGCCCGTATTATCAAGGCACAACACCATTCACAACTCAGACCATGCTCTCTCAACCAGATCGCTTCTACTCACATCATTTCTCAGTCTCCTTCAACCCACTCTGCTAGCCTGTTGTCATCTCGCAGAGTCGACAGCACTCTTCCCTCGAGTTCTTTACTTCCAAGATTCCAAAACAGCGCGCTTGCATCCAGCTTTCGATCACCCAAAGCCATGGCCGCCTCAAACGGAACACCACAAGCAGCAAGAGCGGATTTTACCCTTACAATACCCTCTCTCTACGCAGACTCTGCAGATTCCAGCGCTGAAGCGACACCAAATTCTCATCTGGGAGACCCCTTTCCTCGTTCTCGAATTGCCACTGCTAATAACAGAGATCTTGTCGGTCAACATGTTGAAGCCGCTGGATCTGCCGTCACTCTCGACACTCTCACTTCACTTTTTACCCAAGATCTCGGTCTACGTAATAATACCGGAAAGACACGCGTTGCGAGCCAAGATACGGAAGCCTTGGCGGCTCGAAGATACAACGAAGGCGGTTACAAATTCAACGATGCTGACATCTCACGATTCCTACGAGATAGTCGTCATCTTCGCCAAAGACTTGACGATAAACACGGACAGGAGAACAGCATTGTCTTCCTTGGCCAGCAAGGATTTCTAACCACGGGAAGCAGCCTTGCCGATGTTTCATCCAACTCGACCGCCCTGAATCGCCTCAAGCAGGCTAGACATTCCTCGTCCGGCAGTAACTACTCTAACAATTCTGGAATTACCCGTCACGCGACACGCAAATTCACACAATTCCTCGGGGGTACTGGCATTGGGGACACCGGCGGCGCAGGCTCGGAGTATTCGAGCCTAGGGGGCGTTCACAGTTCAACCAACAGCTCCTCTCGCTCTCTGATGCTCGAGGAGCTAGAGGAGAGCTTCAGCGCCTCCAACCCGGCCATATCTTGTGAGCGATGCCCTTCCTTCCCTCTTGCCCCCGAGGTACTGGGGGTCATTTCCCTCGAAAACTTGGGCCGTGTCCCTTTTGAGCGTGTGCAGCTCTGGGACGACGGCGAATGGCTTGAGAAGGGCTGGTGCTGCGTGCACCAGCGAATGGAATACAGCCATGCTGTCCTCGTTGGCGACGAGGCAGCCATCAGCGAGAGCTGCCGGTCTGTCCAGCGTAAAGCTGGCGTGATCCTCTTGGTCTTGGGGGTCGCGACTTTCTTGCTTGGTGGGTGGACTCTGATCCACTCGATGGGGAAGGGAGGACCTCTGGCCGCTTCGGCCATGGCTGATCTTACGAGGTGGCTGGCAGGAGAGGAGGGCGCTATTTGCTGTGTGCATCCAGTGGATGCTTTAATGGCGCGAGCCATTGAAAGGGCGGCGGTGTCGGCGGTGGTGTTGGTGGTCGTCGGTATGTTGGCTGTGCTGTCCTGGGCGGCGGCCACTATTTAGAAGTTGCGCAATGGTTTATGCAGGCGGGCGAAAGCCCTTAGATTAGTTTGAATCAATTGTCATGAAATGAATGGCCACCAGCTGTTTCTTTCTCTGTTGTTGCCAGTGAAGTGATTCCGCGTCAAAAATACGCCGGCTTCCCGGTGAGCAAACATGCCTAGTCTGCACCCAAGCAGCCCGTCTGATTCAAAAGGTAAGGCGCGATCTACCCGACACTGACGTATTGACGTGAAGGAGGATGCGAAGCCCAATGATGAATGACATTATAAGGGCGGAAAACTGCGGCTTGTACAGAGTCTTTGGGTGATGCTATTGTACAAACCCTATAGGAGGCATGGATAGCGACAGACAGACAGACAGACAAACTGTGTATGCATCACGCTAAGCTGACCGGCAAACGCTCACATCACTACTCTTCATCGACGACATAGCCCAGGGCCTGACCCATTTTGACCTTCTGTCCCTTCTCGACGGCCCATCTGAAGCCCGGCTTCGACTCCGTGCCCGCCGGGGCCTCGAAAACCAGCACGACGCTACTCCCCAATCTAAATCCGCCCATCTCTTCCCCTCTGCGCAGTGCGTGCCCGCCCAGCACCCTGCTCGCATTATCGTATGTGGCTTCGCTGAATCCGGAATACGGCTCGCCTCTTTCGGCCGCGGCGGCGGCTTGTCTGTCCGCCTCTGTGTCTGTGGTGAGCGAGTTGGTGCGGAGTTCCTTGTCGAAGTTGATCACGATGGAGCCGACGTTCGTGGCGCCGACAGGGACGTAGGAGAAAAAACCGTACTTCCACCTTCCCAGGAGCACGACCCGTTCGTTGAGGGTGAATAGCCCCGGAAGCGTCCGTTGAACGTAGGGACTGACGGAGTATAATTCCCCTGCGAAGTGGCGGCGAGCTGTGCATACCCAGCTGACGGGGGAGTGGAAGCGGTGGTAGTCGCCTGGCGCGAGGTAGACAACGGCATAGTACAGGTTTGATGATCTGGTCGGATGGGAGAAAATAGACCACCATGGTTGCCTGCTTGCCAGGTCGGCCGACACGGCGGCTTCGGATGATGGAGCGGAAGGCATGGATGCGTCATGACTTTGGAGTTGGGTTGAAGACGATTTCGAGCCTGAGAAAAGGTCAGGGAGAGTGTAAGAGATTCCATTAACGTTGGCGAATTCTTCATCGGCCGAAATGGCTTTTGCGTCCGGGCTGTCTGGTGGCCCCGATTGTGGCTGACGTTTGGGTTGTGGGGGGATTAGCGAGTTGGGTGAAGGGGGTGCAATCCTCCCCAGCAGGGCGTCGACAGAATATGTCATTCCCTTGACTTGCTCAACTTCGCCATTCTCGATTGTACCGAATTGGAGGACTCTGGCATCGGCGGGGGAGAGGACAGCATTGGGATCGGGGTCAAGGGGCCGGATTCCGGGTTTGATCTCGCGATAGAAGAAAGCAGACAGGTTTGGGAAAACGTGGAGGTCAGGTTCAGCTATTTCGTCGAAGTTGACGCCGAAGATCCAGCCGTAGAGCCTGAAGCCTGGAACGCGGAGGTGATAGGGGATGGTGAGCTCGTTGAAGCGGCCCCAGACTCTAGATATCGCCTTCAAGGGAAGGGTGGACATGATCTGGACCTGCCAGCCGCCTCCTGATGGATGAATCCTCTTCCTCTTGGGGGGAGGAGGTTCGGCTTCCCGAGCAGCGGCTTCTCGCTGGCGAATGCGTATGAATTGGAACAGACCGAGAAAGGCAATACCCAGGCCAACGGGAATAGGCTTCCATTCTATGCGGGTTGACCGCCATGCTTTTCCTAGCCTGGAGCTGAAGCTCTCGTTGTCTCTTTTCCCCTTCTCTTCTTCCCATAGCCTCCTACTGTTCGAGAAGGTCCTGCGTTGTTGTAATGGCAGGCGACCATGGAGGGGGCGAAATGGCTGGGGTCGAGAAGGGAATGGGTCGTTTAGGAATTGTCTGTACTGGATAGATATTGGTGACCGGCGGTAGAGACAGGACCTGCCAGCTCGCGCAGCAGCGGCAGCCATAGTTTTGGTTGGTGTGCTTGGTGAAGGGAAGATGGGAGTTGAATAATGATAAGAGGACAATGACCGCATCAATATGAATCTGGGGATTTTTCGCTGCTGCTGCTGCACCATGCACCATGACGCAGCTGAGGGAACTGGTGTTTCTTGGCTCGTCCACCTCGCGTCTTCACCAAACTGTCCTTCTCCATCTCCGCCTGCGCCCTTGTCTCTGTGTATGAGCAAACATCACCGACACCAAACACCATTCATTCTCTGCGACTCTCCCACTGCTCTCTCTCTCTCTGCATTTCTTCTTCCTCGCCATGTGTTTATAACCCCTGACAATCCTCCTGCCATCTCCCTATGGCTTCCTCGTCTTCGGCATCGCCGCAGCCTCCAGATCAACCTCCACCAGACCAGGATCATGTCCACCTGCGCATCACTTATTTGGTTACAGGCAACCCGCGGCCACCACATTATCTGAGAAACCTCCATCTGAATACTACCATTGCGGCCCTCAAGGAGAGGATTCAGTCTGAGTTGCCTGAGCATCCGACTCCCCCCGAGCAACGCCTCATCTACCAGGGTCGCCCTCTACTGCGAAATGATGCCAATTTGCGAGATGTGCTCAGAATACAAGTATGTCTGCTCTAACGCTCTCTGCGAAGATAACTCTCCTAACTGTTACTTCTCCCATTTAGCCTGGCGCCGTACCCGATGCCCTTCCATATACAGTCCACATTGTGATCCATTCTCAACACAATACTTCCAACCCCCCGCAGCCTTCCAACCCCATCCTCAATCCACGCCCACCAGCCCCCTTACAACCCGTCCATCAGCCGGCAGACTTTACAAACCCTTTCACAACAGGCCCTTTCACAACTGTCGAGACCTCAGCCAATCACCTCCAGGAGTCCCTTGGTCGTATACAGCAACAGCTTGACGCCAGTAGTGCCGATCTGAGAACGGCTCAGCAGAGAATCGCCATCCACCGATACACCCTGGGCATCCCTCCCACTGTTTTCCAAACTCACGTTGATGCAAATGGCCAGCCGCAGCCCGGCCCTCAGCCTCAGACCTTTGGGACGAGCCTGCATGTTGATCTGCCTCTTGACCAGCGAGCACACGCTCAACGACCTCCAGGCCGCGGGCATTCACACCCTCGCCAGCCGCCAAATGCGGTACTAGTCCATCCACACTCGCATGGAACAGCACCAGCACCACTGGGTCCGCCTCAACACGCTGTCCAGACATTCCCAAGTCCGAACGGAGAACGCATGATGACTGTGACGATGCCCGTCCCGGGCCCACCCCCAGGGTCAAGACAGCAGCCTGCCGCACAATCCCAGCCGCAGACGACCACCTCCACTCAAGCGCCGCATGTCAACCCCTCCCCGGCTGGGTCGACCATGTTACCTCCTTCTATTAATTGGAATGCTGCGATGTCCATTCCGCCCACCAGTTTACCAATTTCACTCGCGCCAAATCGTCCAAGTCCTTCACATCCGTCCAATACGACAGCCTGGCTACTCTCATCGCCAATGGGCCCTCAGGCATTGCTGTTTGCTCCTGGCCATGGCTATTTTACTTCTTCGGCCCCAAGACCGCGGCAGCAACAAGCTGGCGGTGTCCCAGATTCTCAACTTCAGACAAACGGCTCAAGCGGAACAGAGGCGACCCAACCAGCACAAGTAAACATTGAGGGTCAGCAGAACGCGGACCGCGCAATAGTACGAGCCAACCAGCCCCAACCCGGTCAGCCTCAACCTGTGCCGGCGCTGGCGCAAGCACAGCAGAACGGAGAAGACAATGATCTCTTTGGATTCATCATCAATCGAGGCTGGCTTTTCCTTCGCCTCTACCTATTCATGTTTGTTTTCTCCGAGCCAGGAACCTGGAAGCGATGGCTTATGATTATTGCGGCGGCTATCATCTGTCTACAGCCCCGAGATGGTCCATTTACTCGCATGTTGACAGCCGCTCGCCGCCACCTTGATAATCTAATTGGCCCCACTCCACCACAACCTCCGCCAGAAGCGGTGGCTCAACAACAAAATCCCGCGGCGAACCAACCTGGTGCTGGCCAGCTCCGCGGGAATGCCGCACAACGACCCGCCCACGTTCGTGGAGCGATCCGAATGACGCCAGAAGAAGCGAGAGCTCGACTTCACCAAGGACGGCAGACTCATCAACAGCCCTTCTGGCGAGACACTCTATATCGTGTCGAGCAGAGTATCGCGCTGTTTTTAGCGAGTTTGATCCCTGGTGTAGGCGAGCGTCATGTCAGAGCGAGGGCCGAGGCGAGAAGGGAAGAACAGCGTCGGGAAGAAGAAAGAACACGCGCAGAGGCCGATGCTGCCGCGCAGAGACAGAATGGGGAAGAGGCGGATGCCGAAGCTGGTGAAATGCAAGGTTCGTCGGTTGCGGCCAAAAACCCTGAAGTCGACCTTGGCGGGCTCGAGGAGCAAAGTGCTTCAACCTCTGTCCAGGTCGGAGACGGCGAAGGTGCATCAGGTGAACTGCGAAATCGGACTTGATTTTATCCTGCAGAACGGTGACTCAGACACCCAACGGGAGTTTTACACTGAGAATCAAAGGAAAAGCAAAAGTTTATATAGGGTACAAGGCTGGGTTCCAGCCTTTTGGCGCCAGTAGCCAGTATCCAGTGTATTGAATAGATCGCACAAAACAACCGGTTATAGACGGACCCGTACTGAGTAGTACACTACGAAGACTCTGAATAAAACATCGCGGAAACGAATTGCTGAAGTGTGAGTCTTAACTTGTCATTGAGATATATAGTGAACCTACTTTTCACGGCTATAACGCGAAGGATACAAGATATGAGACGGAAGATGGAAGACAAGAATGGCAAATGTCTAATTGACGGAACACCCGTGCTCCGCTCCGCTCTTCTTCTTTTCTCCTCCTTCTGTCTTCCCTCTTCTCCCGTCCTACCCCCCCATCACACTTAGAATAGACCCAAGCTCGCCGTCCGCCCGCCCGCTCGCTCGCTCACACAGGTCCCCGCGCGACGGGACCTGAGCCGACGATGGAAAATCTAATGCCGGCTCGAAAGGAGGAAACCCGGGGGGGGAAGAAACAAATGAAGGAAAGAACCTAGGGAAAAGAAAATTTGTGTGCGCCGTGCAATGCCATGTGCTCTCGGACCTTGCCTTGCTGTGTATGCCGTGCCGTGCCTTGCAGTCCTTGCCATGCCTTGAATCGAGGAACGCCAACCCACTGAACGAATACCCTAGCAAGCTATCTAACGCCTCAGCGCTGCGATGCCGTTGAAAGGTTTGTATCTCGAGAACGTCAGGCCGCTGCCTTCGTCTGCTTCGTCTCGGCTCCCTTTTTCAGATCGGCCTGGTCCTGGTCCTTGTCCTTGCTTTTCCACCCACACCCCGTGAAGATCTCTCTCTTCAGCAACTCCCGCACCTCGACGTTAGCAAAGTGCAGCGTAGCCAGGGCGTCTTGCAGACTGGGCGCGCCGCTGGGGTAGATGATGTGCAGGCCCGAGTCAAGCGTTGGGTCCGGACGGAATTTGTCGTGGTAGGCCTTCTTGCCGGCGATGGGCAAGTGGCGGAACGCGCGGCGGTAGCAAGACTTTGTCAGCGCCGTCGTCGGTCGCGAAAGACCCCTAACTTCGTCGAGCTGCGACGCCGGCTCGAAGCCGAAGCTGAGGTATCCGATCCCGGCTTGCTGGAGGAGGGACATGGCTGAGAAGACGAGCAGATCCGTAATGCCCTTCGGCGCGGTCGGGATCGCGCAGTACGGGTCGATGTGGTATCCCTTGTTCGCTCCGATCTTTCTCAACGCGGCGAATCCGTTGCATTGGCCCTGGCGATCGGTAGTGTACAGGTATGTCATGAGCATTGGGATAGCGAAGGGATCAAAAACCGTCATGTATGCCTGTGGCTGGCCTGACTGGTTGCGCGATTCGCGCCACAAGTCATACACCTGCCGCAGTTCCCGTTCCAGAGCCTCATCTCGCCCTTGAGCCGGAGCATATGCATGGACCGAAATACCACCTTTGTCCGGGTCGAGAAGCTGCCTGTTTTGGGTGATCATTCTCCTCTGTTCCTTTTCCTGCAAGACCGGGTTGTTGAGCGGGTTGAGGACCCGCTCGGTGCCAAAACGCATTGTCACCCATTTCTGCTTGCTCGCATACGACGAGAAATCGTCCGTTGCGCCCAGAAAGACCATACCCCACCGCCGACGTTTACGGAGCCGTCGAAATTCCTCCAACAGGCGGTCGTATTCGACTGGTTCGCAGAGCGGGTCGCCTCCAACCACGGCAACATTGTTCCTAACTTTGTAATAGAGCGCTGCTTGGCGGTCTTTGGTCATGAAGAACCGATAACTAGGGTCCAGGATCCCCATGTGGGAGACCTTGCCGAAGCGCTCGACAAGCGAGCTGAGGGCTTCAATGGCCGTGAAATCGTCGAGCGTAAATGTGTGGATGTCATTCTTCTTTCTTTTCGGATACGAAGGGATATGATTGAGGCTCGTACTAGATGCACTAAAGCTCACAGTCATGGATGTCGATATGCATTGCTGGTGGTGTTCACAGCCACCATCGTGGGTTGGAGAAAGTATGTCTCGAGCGGAGATCGACGTCGTCAGGACGGTCGTCCTGCTTTGATTGAAGTCGAGAATCCTTGATCCCAACAGGGCCGGCCCCTTGAGAAATTGCAGACGCTGTATAATGTTCATGGAATCGAGGTCCCTAGCCTGAGTCATGAGGATTTGTGCTAAGTCTCCTCCCAGATCTTGTGAGAGCAGAGATTTTGCCTGAGGCATCTTGGCTGTCGGCTGCTTCTTGCGCGAAGTTTTTGGCTTGGCCGCATCGTTGATGATGTGCGAGGACGGGTGTGAGTGCAAGGTATTGGTATTCGGTGCTGATCCGTCTGGACAGGAACCCATGATGCGTTGAAGTTGTTCTCTCTGTCAGGAACGGAATTGAAGCACGGTCTCTTAAGATGTCGTTTGGATAGTTCGAAGTGAATGTTTCTGGC